GTTAAGGAATAATGATAACAATAATAATAACCAGCATTTATAGAGCCCTTTAAAGTTCACGTGTTTTCTCATTTGATCCTCACAACAACCCTGGAAGAGAGGTACAGTTGGTATTCTCATTTTATAGGTGAGGAAACTGAGGCTGAATGGTTCAATGACTTGCCCAGGGTCACCCAGCTAACACGACAGGATTCCAACACACCAAGTCCAGGTCTACCTGCCCAGCTGCCAGGGGCCATCCCCAGTCGTCCTGATCTGTATCTGGCCACTGGACCCAGATGGCTCTGGAGGAGAAAGTGAGGCTGGTGACTGCACAGCCCTGCCTCACTTAAACCTGATCCACTTGCAAGTCATGGCATCACCTCCCTGATGTCATGGTCTTCTTCTAGAATGAAGGACAAACAACAACAATTGCCTAGCTGCCTCCTACAAGGAGTGACAACTCACCCAGGATAGTGGTGTCCAGGAAGGGGCACTTTGTTCCAGAAAAGTTTCCCCTTTCCCATACGACCTCCCCAGCATCAGAGGGCTCAAGTTTCCATTTTACCTCTTCTACTTCTATTACATGTATGACCCTGGGGAAATCACTTAGGGTCACAGATATAAAGCTGAAAGAAACCTTTGAGCCCAGCCCTTCTATTTTACAGATGAGGAAACTGAGGCCTAGAGAGGGAAAGTGATGCTCCCAGGGTTACGCACCTGGGAAGTGTCTGAGACAGGTTTAGAACCCAGGGCTTCCTGACTCTGCATTCTGTCCTCCCGGCCATCTAGCTTTCCCACTCTGGACCTGTTTCCTCAGCCATGAAATGAGAGGGTTGGGCTCAGTTGGCCACTAAGATCTTACTCCTATGACTTTTACCCCTAATTTCAATGAACCGTGGTCAGATTTTGGTCTAATATATTGATGGAGAGAATCTTGGCACCTTGATTAGGAGGGTCTAAATTAGATCAGGGCAGATTGAAAAGGGAAAGGAAGTGAGTTCGTTGGAAGGAGCCTGCAGTATGCTCTTCTGAGCTCTGACCTGTACCTGATTCAGGGCTCTGGGAGCCCCCCTGGAGGCCATGGGGCACCCTCATGGCTCCAGGGCAGAGATTCAGAGCATCTTCTCCCTAAGGACCAGGCCTGGGCCTAAACGGGAGAATCCCCTCAGCTGCCCAAGCAGGCCCTGAGGCTTGGCCAACCATGCGCAGGGCAGAGGTGGATATGGCAACAGTGATGATAATAATCACAAAAATGCTACTTGTGTTTCTGTGGCACTTTAAAGCATTTCTTTCCCCCAAGTTACCCTGGGAGGTGAATGGTACAAAAATAATTCTCCTCACTTTGCAGGGGAAGAAAATGAGGTTCAGAAAGGTTTAAATGACGATCATCATCACATTCCTCATACTTTGATCCCCCATTTAAACCCAGATCTCTTAACTCAAAGCCCAACTCTCTTGAGAACCCATGGATGCTATCAGAGACAGCATGCAGTGTAGACAGCACTGAACTTGGAGTCATGGGGACCTGGGTTCAGATCTGGCCTGCAATGCTTCCTAGCTGTGTGTCCCTAAGAAAATGACTCAACCTCCTGGAGCCTCAGTTTCCTCACCTGTAAAATGAAGAGCTTGGCCTTGATGACCTCCAGGTCCTTTCTAAGCTGGCAGCTCTAAGTCTGTGAGTTTATGAGATTGGGGGAGAGGGGGAAGGGAGGAGGATGTCTCCAGGCTTGGAGTCCTTACAGGCTATTTGTGATGGATAGAAAGAATAGAGCCCAGGGTAGTTAGGACAGAGGAAAGACCAGGGACTCAGGGCTTGGACCCAGCACTGGGTCTTCAACCCAGATCTCTTGTCACTTATTAACTATGCTTCAGAATCTCAAGTTTCCTTTCTAAAATAGAGATTTTAATCCTGTCCATCCTACCTACCTCACTGGGTAGTTACAAGTCAAGCAAGGGCTTTGTAACTGGTAAAATCATATATAATGGGAGATGTCATGCATATACATGGGATTGTACATGCATGAATGCACACGTTTAATGTGTGTATGTATGTGTGGTGCATGGGTATTTGTATGGGTAGGTGTGAACTAGTAAATACACTATTGTGCACATTGTTTGCATACTGTGTGCATGTATAGAGAGGTGGGCAGGCTTGACTTTGTGCTCCTGTGCACACACATGAGTGTGTGAATGTATTCACCTATGGGTATGAGTCTGCATTGTAGGTCCGTGTGTGTGTAATTTGTGTCTCTGCTATGTGTGTGAGTGTGTTACTGTGTTGTGCACTGAGTACTCCTGAGAGTGTGTGATTGTATGTGCCTTTGGGCACACTGGGGAGCTGGAGGAGGATACCCTTCCTGTACCCTGGCACCACCTACCCTGCCCCACCTGCCCGAGAGTGCCTGGGGCCAGGTGGGGCCGGAAGACTGACTCAGCTGCTTGCTGTGCCCAGTTTCAGGGAAGCTGCTGTCTGGCGCCTGGCCCAGACAGTGCCTGCCTGTGGCCCTCCCCCACTGCTGTAAGGCCTCAATGCCAGGTGGCTCCTCGGCCCTGCCCACCTGCTGCCCCCTTCCCCCAGCCTCTAACTTCCTCTCCTTAAGAGTCAAGGCTAAAAAAAAAGAGTCAAGGGCAGCATGAAGATGGGCAGTGCTGCCCACCTTCGGAGAGGGAGGGGGAGAGAAAGGAGGGGGCCCCAATGCCAGAGCCCTCCATCCCCCAGCCCTTCCCGTCTGAGCCAAAGAAGGGACCCCAGGGGTGGAAGGGCCAATTCCATCCCCACTGTAGGGAAGGCCTTTGGAAAAAACAGGGTGTGTGGTTTTTGTTTGTTTGTTTGCTTGGGGTGGGAGTGGGGGTGGACAGGGGAGAGGCCCAGGTGGGGCCAAGCTTGGGTAGTCCGGACAACAGAGATAAATTTAGTAATGTCTCCAGGTCAGGAATCTGGGAGGGCAGATTTTAGCTGTGGCTAATTTGCTCTGTTGCTCTGGGAAAATCATTTCACCTCTATGGACCTCAGTTTCCTCATCTGTAAAAGGAGGAGATTGGGTTAGATGACCTCTGAGACCTATTTCCAGTTTATTAGTCAAAGAACCAGGAGATGCATGTGCACGGGTGTATTCCCACATAGAGAAATGTTTGTAGTTTATATCTTTCCATGCTAAGATCACTGATGTGGGATGAGATTGAGATGGTTTTCTAATCCAACAATCCCTGCCCCCATTTTCTAGATGATACAGTTGAGGCTCAGATCGGCGCCCCGCCTTGTTCAAAGTTGTACAAGTACTTGATTTGAGCCCGCACTAGGGGCCTGGGTCTGTGGGGCCTGCTCAGCTCCTCTTTCTTCCGCGCTGGCCTGTGGCCTCAGACGTGCGTGCCTGCCCTATACGGATCGTCTTGTAATTTTTCAGATGAGGACATTGCATCCCAGAGTATGCAGATGTGTACGGGGGTGTGCTCCTGCAGAGGACGGGAGCACATGTGTCCATGGGCACACACAGCCGCGGCACACCCGCAGGCCTGTTGCCTTGCCCCTAGGGTTTCTCCACGGTGCCCAAGGCCCTGCCCAGGGCGGCGGCGGCCTGGAGAGTCGGTGGGGTCAGGGCAGCCGACTGGGCCCGGGCTCCCGGGTGGCGGGCAGGCAGGCTATTTTGGGGCCTGGCCTGGTGCCCGGCAGGGGCCTCTGTGTGCCGGGGCGGGCACTGCTCACAAAAGGCGGGTCTGTGCAGACAGCACCCCGCCCCCTCCTCCTGGGGAGCCGGAGCTGCAGGGCGGGGGAGCGGCCGGCCAGACGGCTCCCAGCGCTAGACAGGGGCCTCCCTCCAGCTGACTCCTCCGTCTGCCTGAGTCCTGCCCCAGCCGCAAGAAGTTGGGGGGGGGAACCCCAGCCCTGGAGCTGCGGCTGGCGGGGGGCGGGGGGCCTGGCCCAGAGCCGGGACAACCCCAGGCCGAAGGACCGAGTGTGAGATAGAGAGAGAGAGAGAGAGAGAGAGAGAGAGAGAGAGAGAGAGAGAGGGGTGCACAGGGGCCCACCCATGGGGGGTTGAGGGCTTGCAGCCTCTAGAAAAAAGGGTGCACTGCACAGGGGTCGAGTCTTGCGGGATCCCTTCAGCCTCCATGCACCCCTCCTGCAACCCCTAAAGAAAGGGGTGGACGTGGCCCTACTCATGCGTGAGTTGGGGGGCACCATCCCTTGCAGCCCCTAGGAAGAAGAGTGCACGCAGGCTCATTCATGCAGGAGAGAAGGGGACATCCTCCTAGCACCCCCGCTTGCAGCCCCAGTGGAGGCTAGGGTTTTCTTTCTTCGCAGACCCTTCCAGATGCCCGAGCTAGGGGCATAGCTGGGATCGGGTGGGCAGAAGGATCCCTCCCTTCTGCACAGCCCCCTTCCCCCCCCCCGCCCCCGCCGCAATCCCTCTGGCTCCTGGGGAGGAGTGGAACTCCAGGTGCCAAAGTGAGAGGTAGAGGGGAGGCGGAGGGGGAGGGGGAAGAAGAGAGAAAGGTTTTTCCCAGACTCTAGACACTTGGAAGTTGCACATACACACCCTCTGTCTCCAATTATCCAATTTGGGGAAGCAGGAGCTGGGATTCCCGCCGTCTGGGGAGGGAGAGGTACAGCACGGGGGTGGGAGTGGGGGGTTGGCGGGGCGCAAGGGAGAGTCTGGATCCTGAGTCAGCTCCCCTCTCCTCGCCTGCCCGTCTCAAGCGGGGTTATCTGAGGTGGGATCCTCCTCCCCCCCCCTTCACAAGGGAGGGAACAGGGACTGAGAGTGAGGGACCAGCTGTGGAGCTGAGTCAGGGGGCTAGTGGCTGAGTCTGGTATCTCCCCCCCGGGGTCTGGGTTTCAAGACTGTGTGAGTGAAGTGGGCGTGGGGCCAAAGACTACAAGGTCAGCTACTGTATGATATCGGGAAAGTGAACCAGGCTGAGAGATCTGGGTTCGGGTTTCAGCTGGGCTGCTCACTTGCCACGACATTGGGCAAGTCACTTCCTTTCCTTTCTCTTTTGGTGTTCCCAGGTGCAAAACAGGGTCAAGGATCCCTGCCTCACCTTCCTCTCTGGCCGTCTTGAGAATCAAATGAGAGAATGGATGGGAAATCACTTGAAGGGATAATAATGACGATGGTAAATAGTCTATTTCCGAGTCTCCAGTATTTCCCAGTTTCCAGCCTCATCCAGGATGTTCCATCCAGCGTCCCTGGGGCTTGGGGGTGGAAGCAAGGCGAGCTCACATTTCTCTAAGGGTCAAGGAAATGAGGTTGATAAACCCTGGGGAGGAGATACTTGCTGTCCACCCCCAATCCAGTTGAGCCTGGGTTGTGAGCTAAAGACTGGATAAGGCTAGGAGGCACAGGGTGACTGCCCAGATGGGGAGGCCCTGGGGTGATGCTCATCAAGCCTGCAGGTCAACCCCCCAATCGCTCTCCTCCTTGCCCCACCCCCACCCCAGTGCCAGGCAGCCACCCTGAAAGCAGCTTGGAGGGGTGGGAGGGGTCCTCGGTGGCTGTTGAGGGGAAGAATTGCTTAAGGGCCAGGCCCCCAAGGAGGGCCCAGGTTGCCCCCCAGAGCCCATCAGAGTCAGGAACCTTGTAAATGGCCCCTGAGCCTCTCCAGTGGCAGAGCTGGGCAGCAGATGTGGGGTGGGCTGTGTGTGATTTACATTGGCATATATGTTTGCTTATATCGCTGTATGTATGCATTGTATATTTTCATGGGAGAGTGTACTGATGTATGTTTGCATGTAGATGGGGTAGTCGAAGGGGTGGGGAATCTTCAGTCTTGAGGCCACATGTGGCCTTCTAGGTCCTCGAGTACAGGCCCATTGTCTGCATCCAAACTTCACAGAAAAAATCCCCGTAATGAAAGGATTTGTTCTGTAAAACTAGGACTCAGCCAAAGGCTGCACCCAAGGACCTAGAGGGCCATGTGTGACCTCGAGCCTCAGGTTCACCACCCTGGTAGGGGATAGTGACACATCAGGGATCTAGCTGAGGGAGGTCCCCATATTTCAGAGGGAGAGAGTATTCACTTACATCTGTCCTAGAACATGCATAGAATCCTAGAATACTTGAGAAATGGAACTTTGGTGTCCAGCTACTTTGTTGAAGGCAGTATGGCCGATGGATTGAGTCCTTTGACTTGGAGACCTGTGTTCAAATCCTTCCTCAGGCTGTGTGACTTGGTCAAGTCTTAGCCTCTCTGCCTCAGTTTTCCCCATGAGGGAGTTGGACTCAGTGACCTCTGAGGTACTTTCCAGCTCTAAATCTGTGATCCTGGGGTGCCGTTGAGTGGGAATCCAGTCCACGGTGCATAAAGAGCACAGAGATAGGGTGGTACAGTGGACATAGAGCTGGCCACGGTGTTGGGAAATCCTGGATTCAAGTCTTCTCCACACACATATTGGCTATGTGATCCTGGGAAAATCACTTACCTTCTCAGTGCCAGTGGACAACTCTCTAAAACTACATGTTATAGACAGATTGCCAATTTATAGTCTGCTCTGAGCTCTCCACATGGATGAAATCACAGAAATAGACCAAAAGTAAAATGTGCTGTTGAGCACAAACATTACACATTGCTCCCCCCCCATACCCTTGCAGACACACACACACATTCCCGTATGTGCTAATCACCAGGTAAGAACATGTACACATCCACACGTGCCCTTGCACCCTTGGCCTACCCTCACACCAACCCCCCCTCACCCAGACTTCTGTCTTCCCCCCTTCCCAGGCCTGGGAACCAGCTGTGGCCTGGGGGGTGGGGGGAGGCAGGGGGAATGCGTGGGAAACAATGGAGAACAATGAGGTTGGGGGAAAGAACAAAGAGAATTCTGAACTGCCTGGGAGCTTGCTTGCTCCAGGGACCCTGGGAAAGGAAGCAGAGAGACAGAGACAGAGACAGAGACAGAGACAGAGAGACAGAAAGACAGACAGACAGAGATAAAGAGATACACACGGAGGGGCAGACAGACAAAAAGAGGGAGGGAGAGACAGAGTGAAAAGGAAGGGAAAGGGAAACAAAGAGGAGTATAGAATCCTAAAATACATGAGCAGGAAGGGCCCTTAAAGACCTTCATATCCAATAGCTTCATTGACTTCATAAGGAAACTGAGGCCCCAACAGGACAAGACTTTCCCAGAATCATACAACATGTTTTGTGCATCACACAGAAAGAGACTGGGAGGAGGCTGTGGAAAGGCGCTTGGATTTGGAGTCAGGAGGATCTGGGTTCCAATCCTGTCTCTGATATTAGCTGAGTGTCTTTGGGCAGTTACTTAATTCCTTCGGGCCCCAGTTTGTCCATCATAAAATGAGAAGGTGGGCTTCAATGGTCTCTACGGCCCATTTCACCTCTGGCTGTATGATCCTACTCGTCGGTCTGCACCCAATTTGGGTGGAAAGAGCCCTGGATTTGGAAGCCAGGAGATCTGGGTTGCAGTCTGTCATCTCATCTGTCAAATGGGAAAAATAATCCTCGCTCGGCTTCCCTCCCAGGGGCACTGAGAAGATCAAATGGGATCACAGACATGAAAGCCCTTTGTAGACTGGAAAACGCTGTGCAGATGTGAGGGGCTGTTGGGATTATCATGAAGTGTGTGTGAGGCTATCTGTGTGCACTTCCCCGTTGAGGGGCCCACACACCAGCGGTCCTGTGTGCCGGGAAAGCAGGGGTGAGGGGAAGATACCAGCATTCTCGGGTACTTCCTGCTAGTGACACTGAAATGGGGGGGGGGGGTAAAGGGGGCTGTCATCCAGAACATTGTAGCATAATAGGGGGAAATAAGAAACAAAGGGAGAAAGCCCTAATGTGGGGCATGGACCCTGTGCTGAGGGTGGGTCAGAGATGCCCAGGCCTTTTCCTCTACTCTTCCTTCCTCCCCACCCACCCCCATACCCTCCTGTAGACCAGGACTGGCAGGAAGGGGTCAGCTCTCTCTTTCTGATCATCCACTTTTCTCCCTCTCTTCCTCCCTAGCTGGTCAGACTCTGAATCCCAGGTGTGGGCCGAGGGATCTAGGGTCTGGACTCTGAATTGTAGGTGTGGGCCCTGGGATCTAGGGTCTGGGCCACTGATTAGCGTTTGTCCCTCACTTGGCTTCTAGGCCCTTCCTTGGACTCATGCCTCTTATCCCCCAAAGGGTGGGTACAACTTCCAGGGGCTCAAACCTCTGATGTATCATCATCCCTGCACTGGCTCCTGGGGCAGTGCCTTCCCACCCCACCCCTAAACCTGGGCCTCAGGTCCTAGCCTGCAGGGCTCCTTGTCTGGGCCCATACATTCCATTCTGTTGAGGCCACCCTTGGGGCTCCTGGCTCCAACTGGCTGCCCAGAGTATCTGGACTAGGGCATCAAAGGATTCAGTGCCCAGCCAGAGGCAGCACAGCTAGTGCCCCATAAACCTGGGAGCCAGACACCAGACTCCCCTCCCCCAGTCTCTGTTGAGAAGAGGAGAAGGAACAGGGTCCTCCAGGGAGTACAAGGGTCATAAAAACCACATGCTGAGCTCCCTGCCTTGAACCCCGGCTCATCCAGCCTGCCCCTAACCCTCAAGATAGGTGTCTAACACAGAGTCACGAACTTAGAGCTAGAAGGTCATCTCATCAACTCCTCCATTTCACGGAAGAGGAGACTGAAGTTGAGGAAGGACTCGTCCAAAGTCACACAAATAGTAAATATCAGAGCCCAAACTTGAACCCTAGTCTTCTGATTTCAAGTCCAGGGCCAGGACACAATGCCTCCTAAGCCACTACCTAGCTCCAAGGACACCTCCTCCTGGATGCTCTCTCTGATTAACCCCATTCTGGTCCCTATCCCTGTGGGACCCCCTTACGATACATTGTGCTTGCTAATGGCTTTTGTTTTTGAGTCTCTGAGATCCAGTCACAAAGCACTTACTCTGCTAAGCACTGGGAAAACAAAGAAAGGCAATATATTTTGGATCTCCCCACTGTACCTAGTTTTGTGCTAGACACATGAAGGATGTTTAATCAGGGCTAACTGACGGACTTACAGACAGGAAGCAGCTTTTCTGTGGAAATCTCTGAGTTCAGCCCACGTGCTCTAAACCTCTATCTCCCATTCAACTTTCTATCTTCCCAAGAATTGTGCCTGCCCCTTGGGTAAGGGTCATCCATCTCTGCCCCTGGACATTTAAGCAATACCCAAGGGAGGAGTAAAGGTCCCTCAGAGGGCCCAGGATCCCCAGATCCCTCTAGATGGAGGGAGGCATGGCCCCTCTGTTCTCTGTCTGGATCAGACGCTGTCTGGAGGATGGTGTTTGGTTTGGGGTGCCCTACTTTAGGAGGGACATTGACAAACTGGAACAGATCTAGAGGAAGGTGACCCAGGCTGGGGAGAGGCCACGTCGCAATGAGGATCCCTGGAAGGAAATGGTGACGTTTAGCCTAGAGGAGAGGAAACACGATGGGTGCCTTTGGGCAGGTAGATTCCTAGGATGGTCAAATTTAGACTTATAAGGTACCTCAGAGATCCTTTAGTTCAGTTGGAGACACTGAAGGGGCAAATGATTTGTCTGAGTAATAGCCACCAGCTACAAGCCTATTAGTGAGACCAGGACCCCAGATCTTACCAGCCACCCTGCAGCTACACCCTTCAGCCCTCAGGTCACTACCATCTGTCCTGCTGGTGAAGGACCCCTGAGCCCTCCTGTCCATACTTCTCACTGATGCCCCCTCAGGACCACCAGGTATTTCCCTCTCTCCACCAGCTCATCTCTTTCACCTATGTCTCTTTCAATTAGTGTGAATAGGAACTATTTCTTTTTTCTTTTTGTGTATATATATATATATATATATATATATATATATATGTATGTATGTATAAAATGCTTTTTCATTCATTCATTCAAGGTCACAGAAGGGGTAAGTAGCAGAGGTGGAATTTGAAGCCAGATCCCCTGCTCTGAATTTGGTATTTGAAAATTCATCATGAGCTGGCTAGGTGGCTCAGTGGGTAGAGCCCTGGACTTGGAGTCAGGAAGACCGGAGTTGAAATCCTGCTTCAGACACTAGCAAGTCACTTAATTCTGTCTGCCTCAGTTTTCTCACCTGTAAAATGGGGATAATAATAGCACCTACTTCCCAGGGTTGATGTGAGGATCAAATGAGTTAACATATAGAAAGGGTTTTATAAACCTTTAAGTGTTATATAAATGCTAGCTATCATATGTGTGTGTGTGTGTGTATACACACATATATATATGTATATATGAATAGCTAGGTGGTACAGTTGATAGAGCACCAGCCCTGGAGTCAAAAGGACCTGAGTTCAAATGTGCCCTCAGACATTTACTGGCTGTGTGACCATGGGCAAGTCACTGACCTCTTTGCCTCACTTGGAGTGAAGAAGATTGGAATTCAAATACTGTCTCAGACACTTACTAGCTCAGTGACCCTGGGCAAGTCACTTAATCTCTGTCTACTGCCTTTGCCTCACTTTCCTCATCCTCAAAATGAGCTGGAGAAGGAAAAGGCAAACTTCCAATATCTCCACCAAGAAAACCCCAAATGGGTCACAGAGAGTCAGACGCCACTGAAACGACTCAACAAAATGTTGTATGTATACATCTGTACATACGCATACACACGTTATATCTACAGATTCGGACCAGAAGGTCAGAGCAGCCAGGCACCAGTCCCTGGAGTAGCTTCCCAGAAAGTCTGGAGCAGAGCTAAGAGAGAAGGACAGCTGATATCTCCCCAGCTCCCCTCCCACCAGCATCCGTGACTTTGTTCCCTGGTTGGAATCCAACGCCAGCGTAAGGACGGAGTCCCTGAGGAAAACTACTAACTGTAAGTGGTCTTGGCCCAGAGCCTTGCCCTCCTGGCTCCCCTTCCCTCTTGTCCCCCCCATGAGTATGGAGGGGTACAGTAGGGTCGAGGAGCAGGAGCTGGCTCCAGTGGAAAACCCTAGCCCCCGCAAGCCTCAGTGAAGCCAAGCTCCTGGGGAGGTAGCCGCAGCGGCCCTCAAGGGCCGATGGGAAGCTGATCTTTAGTGTCCAGGGCCACAGGAGACCAGGTGGGAGAATAGAAGGACACAAATAGGTGAGGCTGTCCCAAATCCCCTCTGCCCCAGGGCCTGCTAGCCATCTGGACTAATGTACTTTTGGGACAATTTATTCTGACATTTCCAGAAGATGGTAGGGAAGGAGACAAAATGTATTAAGTGCCTACTGTGTGCCAGGCACTGTGCTAAGCACTTTACAAAAATTATCTCACTTGATCCTCACAACAATCCTGGGAAGTAGATGCTATTATTATCCCCATTTTACACTTGAAGAAACTGAGGCAGATAGAGATTAAGTGACTTGCCCAGAGTCACTGAGCTAGTAAGTGTTTGAGACAGGATTTGAATTCTAATCTTCCTGACTCCAGATGATCCAGTGCTCTACCCACTGTGCCATCTGGCTGCTCTGCGATTTATTTGGGTGGGTGCCATCCTCTCTACCACCATCGATCAACAGATATTTATCAGACATCTACAGTGTGCGAGGCATCCCTTCTCCATCTTGACGAATCATGAGTTACTGTGGACAGAAGATAAACTTCAGCCTTTGGTAGCCAGCTTTTGGTGGAGGAGCTCCATACCTCGGTTAGTCTGTCTTCAGAAAGCAAACACATAGCCTTCATCAGCCCCTGCCCCCAAAGCACTTTGGGTTTGGAGGAACCTGCCAGTGAGAGCCCTGAGTAATCTCCAAACCACGTGGCGGGTGTCGGAAAAGGACCTTAGGGGAGCTAGACGGGAACGGTCTATACAACTGCGCGGGGCAGGGGATGCATCTGTGGAATTCCAGCGTCTCCCACGTGTGGGCACATTCACAGTAATGACAATGATGACATCTGCATGAACTCATCCAATATGATGTTGGCAAAGAAGCCTGTCAAACGAATGGCTGAGTCATGCCGATTTGTTTACAGAAACAGGTTTATAAGAGCAGTTCAGGGCTGGGTCACGACCACCAGAAATGTCAGAGGGGTAATCAATCCCGAAGGAGTCTGGGTGTACTGACGCATGAGGATTATCATCAATTCATCAATAAACATTCATGAAGCAGTGACGCTGCCAAGCACTGTGTTCGGCTCTGTGAATAAAAAGGAACGTTAAAAATAGGTCCTGCCCTCAAGGAGGCTACAGTCTAATAATAGAGACGTCTATACATCACTCCATAGAAGATAAATATAGACTAAATGGAATGTAGCCTTAGAGGAGAAGGCATTAGCCATTGGTGGGGACCGGGAAAAGCTTCCTACAGGAGCTGTCTTTTTTTTTTTAATTCAATTTTATTTTTCTTTCAGTTCCAAAATCTCTCCTTCCCACCTCCACCTCTGCCATCTGTTGAGAAGGCAAGAAAAATGAAGCTCATTACAAATATGTATAGTCAAGTAAAATAAATTCCCTCAGCTATGTCCAGGGGGGAGAAAACAAAAACAAGAAAATAAAATACAGTTCCACCTGCTCTCTGAGTCCGTCAGCTCTGTATCTAGAGCGGGGTGACATATTTCATCATGAGGCCTTCAGAATCATGGTCGTCATTGTGTTGATCAGAGTTCTAAGTGTTTCAAAGTTGATCTCGACAGTGTCGTCACTGCATAAATTGTTCCAAGGAAGTGAGTCTTAAAGGAAGCCAGAGCTAGGAGGGAAAGCATTCCAGGCATGGAGAGCAGTTAGTATAAAAGCCCAGAGATGGCAGATAGAGCATCATTTGTGAGAAACACAATCATGTGTGCACAGGGCAGATACCTGTGCATCTACATGCACACACACTCACTGACCCACGTGGACACACTCACAGCCACACAGAAGCACACGAAACAGGCACTTTTGCATATACCTTCCTCGTCTATCCAGACAGTGGATAAATGCACATTACATATAGGGTAGCTGGGCTGGGCAGAGGTGCCTGGAGTCAGGAAGACATAAATTCATATCTAGCCTCAGATACTTACTAAATCACTTGACCTTTCTTTGCCTCAGTTTCCTTATCTGCAGAATGGGGAAAATAACAGCAGCTACCGCACAGGAATGTTGTGGGGAATCAAAGCAGGTAGTATTTGTATGTAAAGCACTTAGCCCAGTGCCTGATACACAGTAGGCACTTAATCAGTGTTTATTGAATTGAATTATATCCACACAGATAGCCACAGACAGACCCATGAGCTTAAACAGTGCTTTGCAGTTGATAAAGGAGATCTCCTCTAATGTGAGCCCTTGTAGAGGCACGCATGTACACACTGTCCTTGTCCATTTGTCCCATTGACCATTTGTTCATTCGTTCATTCATTCATTCAATGAACATTTATCAAGCTCCTACCATGCTCACTGTGCTCCCCAGTGGGAAAGACCCCAAGTTTAGCTAGAACCTGTTTTCTGCCCTCATGGTACTTACAGACCCAAAAGACAGTCAGAATTTAATTATAGCTTCTATTTCTAGACTTTCTCCATTGAGGTTTCACTATCTCATGGGTTGGCATAAGAAATTAAATGGGAATTTGGAGGGAGTTTTGTGTAAGCCACAGACAATGCTTGAAGGCCAGCAGACAACACAGAGCCTATGACAAAATATTTAACCCAAATTGTACAATAAGGTACCATAAACACCCCATAAACAAGAAAGAAAAAAATCCAGACTTTTCTGCTGGTGCAAATGGAGGGCCAAAAATTTTTCCACAGATTTTCCATATTGCTGGAGTGCTACACCCCTAACCCCCTCAATGTGGAAGAGACGATTCTTGAATGCCAGGAAGAAAAACTGTATTCTAGAGGCAGTAGGGAGCCATGGAGGGTTTTTGAGCAAAGATATAACAGAACCTGATCTATGCTTTAAAAAGGTTATTCCTTTAGCAGTTTAGAAGAGGATTAACCAGAGGTGGGATGAAGGTTGGAGGGCATGGCCAAAGTGTAAGCCCACCATAATAAGCCTGGCCTGGGCCAGTATCTGTAAATCTGTATGTCTACTTCATCTGTGCACATACCTATGGGAGAGCGTGGAGAAGGGTTTGGTCCCTATTTGCTCTCTGTATCTGAGCTCTAACTAATAGGGGGTGACTGGGGCTTCGTCTCTGGGAGCTGAAATTCAGCAGGGCGACCAGCCAGTCCCAGAGCAAGCTTCCTCCTCTCTGGGTGGTTGCACCAAAGTGAGCTCCTGCTGGGCGAGTGAGGAAGGCAGGCAGAGAGTAGCCTGGGTGATAAGGACATGCTTTCTTCCTCCAGGTTGCTGCACCCACTGCCCCTGGTCTATCCTAACCACTCCCCAACCAACAGTGGCCAGTCCTTTAACAGGATAGAAACCTTCCCCCAGGGGCTGCACCCAGGGTGTACCCTACCCCCCACTCTCTTCTCTCTTCCCCCCCGCCCCGTTCCTTATGGTGTCTCTGGGCAGATAGCCCCCTTCACACATGCCCCATCCAGTCTGGCCTAGTCTGAACAGTGCTAGGTGCCCAGGTCTGACCTCTAGGCCATCCTCCCCCTGAACTGTTGCTGTCTGTTGTCTGTCCTCTCTCTGGACTTGCTGTACCCTCCGGGCAGGTGCCTGGCCGAGGGCCATTAAGAGCTGGCTGACCAGAAATCCCAGTGCCTCTGGAGTCTCCATATGCACTGACTTGACCCCACAGAGTCCAGTACCTGGACCGGGAGGGTCTCTGCACCCCAGCTCCTTTCTCGTTAAGCTGTAGTGTCCCACTTACTCTATGGGAAAGGGCAGGCCAATTTCTGGGCTCAGTGCTTGCCCCAACCTTTACCCAGACATTGGTCCTGACAGGAACCAAGGTTCTTATCACAGCCAGCCCTGGGCACTGGTGCCAGCCCGATGCTCTGCCCCCTATTCCCTAGCCCTGCTCTGGAGGGGAAGGGCTTCATGACCTGTCTCTGAGCACCTGGCGTGGCCAGGGGCAGGGAGCTGGCAAGAGAGGCTATTTTCCTGGGGACAAGACAGTCTGTCCCAGAAAGCAGCTGTGGTCATTGACAAGACTGAGGTTATCATTAGCAGCTTAAGCCTGGGAGGGGTCAAACAGGGACAGAGCCCATAGGAGAAGAGGAGGAGGTGCCTGCTGGGGCCAAGGGGCAGAGGTCGGGAGGGATGGCCATCTCTGCCAGGGCAAAAGCAGTCAGGACTTTGGGGACTCTGCCTCTGTCTGTCCCTTCAGAACCTTCATGTAGGCCTTTTAGGTAGATCTCTCTGTGCACTTGTGAGTCTGGGTTTACTTGTATTTTGGTGCACATACATGTGTGTCCATGTGTCATCGTGTATGTGCATCCTCGTCTGTATCTCTGTGTATATACTGTGTTTGTATAGTCTGTGTGCAACTGCGTACGTGTATCTGTATGTATCTGTACTTGTCGGTATATGCTGTGTTTGTAGAGATATGACTACATAGGTGTGCGACTGCGTAAGTGCATATCTGTACATATATGTGTGCTTATGTGTGGCTGTTGTACATGTGTAGGTATGCATACATGTGTGTCTGTGTGTAATTGTATTGCATGCTTATATGTGTGCCTGTGTGTGCCTGTATGCTAACGCACACGTGTGTGACTATGCATTAACAGGGTGTCAGAGGAGCCTCGAACCCAAGTCTTTCTGTCTCCAAGGCCCAGCTGCTGTTCCACCAAATGCCTCTCCATGTATACAGATGTGCAAATGTGTCCACGGGCCTAACAACAAAATGTATTAATGCATATGTCGCATATAACTATGTCTTTCTGTGGACTTGTATTGTGTACATGTGTGTGCATGTTATAGCTGTGTATTACCTCCCTTCGTGGACTCCTCTGTCGTTGTGTGTGCGTGTGACAGACAGCCCGATGTAATTGGTCAATAATCATTAATTACTGTGATTACCAAAAAGAAGCAAAAGAGAGTGCCTGCCCTCCAGGAGCTCACAGTCTATTGGGGGAGCAACAAATAAGGTCAGACAGGCTCCCGATGGAATAAGTAGGAGATAATTAACACAGGAAAGGCTGGAGAATTAAAGGGGTTTTAACTGGGATTTAAAGGAATCGGAGGGGAGTCCTGGGCTGGGTATCAGGACAACTGGGCTGGAGTCCCAGCTCTCCCACATATTAGCGGCATAACCTTGAACAAGTAGTTCATTGGCCTTCTTGGCCCCTCAGTCTCCTTATCTGTAAAATGGAGAACAATCCCTGCCCTACTGAATTCAGAAGAGGGTTGGGAGGAAAGTGTTCTGCCAACCAGGCCAGACCTCTGAGGATCTGGCTGTTCTGATTGTGATGTGTGGCATGTGTGTGTGTGGGGGGGTGTGGGTGTGTGAGTGTGTGTGTGTGTGTGTCTGTGGGTGTGCGGGTGTGCATACATGTGCTATTGGAACCAGGGGTCTCTGGATGCGTCAGTACCTGGCTGCACCTGTGTCTATATATAGGAATAGGTGTTAGGCCTGGGGTTTCATTAATAGAAGGAACCTTCAGGGGGAGAGAACTCCCTCTATCAAGGCAGGTCAGCACCTTCTGTAAAATCTAGGGCCTTAGACAATAGCATGGGGGCACTGAAAAATGCAGTTACTTGTCCAGGGTGTCAGAGGCGCTACTCGAACCCAAGTCTTTCTGTCTCCAAGGCCCAGCTGCTGCTCCACCAAGTGCCTCTCCCATATATACAGATGTGCAAATGTATCCATGGGCCTAACAACAAAATGTATTAAGGACCTCCAGAATGGAGGGCCTTGTGCCAGGCCCTGAGAGAGATAGAGAGTTTAAGGACAGTTTCTGCCCCGAATAGTCTAGGAGGGTACTATGGCTCATGCACAAATAACCCTAATGGGCAGCATTAAAGATAAATATATTGGTCAGGTAAAGACACACTGTTAAGTGAAGGAGCTAGTATAGTGGCTCTGAAGTTAGAGGCCCTGGGTTCAAATCCTGCCTTCAATGTTTACTTAATATCTGTATAACCTTGGCCAAACACTTGTCATTCCTGGGCCTTGGTCCATCATCTGGTAAATGTTTTGCTGTTCAATCATGTCTGACCCTTCACAACC